GAGAATGGGGTAGGGAGAGACGTGAAGTAGCAAAGGTGGCTGAAAAGTCAGATGGATCATCGAACATTTTGTATTATGCAGGGTTTTCCATGGCACCTTCCCCACATTCCCAACTGTGTTGGCTATTTTCCTCTGGAGGGTTGAGTTGACTTGAGTTTGAATCTAGCTCACACTCTATAAAGATAGGGATCAAACGGGGGCAAGAATAGACATGCTCCCTGGTGGCCGTCTTGGATGTCGGCTTCTACAATAGTACCACTGTCATTTGGCCCATCTGAGAACCATAATGAGCAATGGGAAAGAAATAAAAAGGAAACTAGCCTGTTTTAGTACATGTCTTACAGTAACTGTTAAGCATGGCTGCACTTCAGAATCACCCCGGGAGCTGTTAAAAAATATTGATACCTAGATGTTGCCTCAGATATTCCAATTTAATTAGAGTCATATGGGGCCGAGACTTCTGTATTTTTAAATCTCTCCATGTGATTCCAATGGGTGAAATTGGCGATCACTGATGACTCTTTCCAGTAAGGTTAGATAACGGAGATGATGGAAGCTGTGACTCAGAAAGCACAGGTATAAACTTTGGCGGAGTTGCCAGTTGGGAAAGGCACCTTAAAGGTGATTGGCTCAATGCCCCTCTCTGAAGTGTGGCTCACTTCCATACCATCTCTGAAAAGGAGTGGTACAGTAGCCTCTGGGCCCTCTTCTGCACACGCGCATACACACACACACACACACACACACACACACACACAGTGGAACAGAGTTGACTGCTTACTTGAACGTTCCTCTCTCTTAGGGTGAGCTTATCCCCACAGTCCTTTCTGATTTCTACCCACGGAGTTTTCACAGGAAGGCACAAAGAAAATCCCTGAAATTCTTGTCACAAAAGCTCTGAACACCAGCTATATTATTGGATTGAAGGTTTGGGCCCTTCTATATTTTCAAACTATGATGACATCTGGCTCAGCTCAGAATATCAGGTCTCAGCAATTTGGAAGCTTGCATCTTTTCTCTACCCCTAGAAATATCCCTGCCAATTTTGTATCTCCTCTACACCAGACCTTTCATATTTGAATAGTGCATGACTCACCAAGGTGTTAAGAGCTTCATATGTTACTTTTTGCCTTTTAAACAATAACCTTCCCTGTTATGTACCAACAAAATTAGTAACTTGAGCTGATAATTGAAGCTATAGGTAAAAGGTTAGTAGTTTGGGTCTCATTAATTCATTTTTCATTTGACAAATATGTATTTATTTTAAAACCTATTTGGTGCCAGATAGGGCTCAGTTCCAGAGAACATAATGTTGGAGCAAAGGCAGCCATTGTTCTCCCCTCGTGGAAAACTTGACTGAATAATCATGCAAACACATGAAAAATCATGACTATGCTAGGTTGTGTATTATCGGAGAGGTGCCGTTGAGTTGAAGTCGATAATGGGGGCCTAACCATTCCTGACTTTCGTGACAGGCTGCCCTTTAAGAAATGAAGATCAGTGACCATTCAACACGCAATTGGTCTCTCATCACTTAGAAAAGCGGAGGGACAAAGAAAATCAGGAACTGGGGGAAGACATGGACAGTGGGTCCATTGCTCCTCTGCATTGCCATGAGACCAGCCATCACAGTGTACCAGTTTTTGGCAAAAATCGGCATGCCTCTCTTGTCCCACACACCTCACTCACCTGAACGGACTTTGTGAGACTTCTTTTGGTTTCTGCAAATGAAGAGGGACATGAAAGGACAGTGATTTGATGACGTAGAAGAGGTGAAGAAAAAAACAAGGGAGGTGTTTGATGAGTTTGAAAAATGTTTCCAAGAATAGAATTACAGAATTCACAAATGTATTAAGTGCAATAGAGAATACTTTGAAGGTGACAAGGTTGTTTTGTAAAAAAAATGTAAACATATAGCTTTGAAAAAAATTCCAGTTTTTGGGGGTACCCGGTCATATTTGTTTATTCTTTTGGCAGTCCATGGTACTTTCAGTATTCTTTGACAGCACCATAATTCAAATGCATCAACTCTTCTTCTGTCTTCCTTATTCAATGTGCAATTTTCACAAGCATTGCAAAGCAATAGAAAGGCCATAGCTTGAGTCAGGTGCACCTTCGTCCTCAAAGTAGCATCCTTGATTTTCAATGGTTTAAAGACTTACCCAATGCAAATTTATCCAATGCAACATGTCATTTGATCTCTTGACTGCTGCTTCCATGAACATTGATTGTGGATCCAAGCAAGACAAATCCTTGACAATTTCCATCTTTTCTCCACGTTTCATGATGTTACTTATTGGTCCAATTGTGACGGTTTTGTTTTTCTTTACATTGAGTTGCAATTATAGTGAAGGTTGCAATATTTGGTCTTCATCAGCCAGCTCTTGAAGTCCTCTTCACTTTCAGCGAGCAAAGTGTGTCCTCTCCATACCGCAGGTAAGGTTAGCAACCTTCCTTGCTGTGAGTTGAAATTGGCTCCATGGTAATGAGAGAGTTGGAAAATTCTGATACCAAATTTTTCATGTAATCCAGTTTTCTCTGTTTTTTTTGCTCAGTATGCATTCTTGAGTTCCTAGCACTTCCTGGCACACTACCCATAGAAATTTTACAGGCAGATGGAGGAGACAGGCAAGAAACAACACCTGAGCAGTCAGGTAACCAGAGACAATTTAGTGAAAAGAGGAAGGGAACATAAATAAATATGTGTGCAAGCCAGGTAGTTATAAATGTTAAGGAAAATAAAGCCGGTCTGAGGGACACAAAATGATTAAGGGATTACTACTTTATATGCATTAGCCAAAAAAGCCTTCTGATTAAATGATGTTTGAGGAGAGAGCAGGGAGCAGCATTACAGTGAGATGGTAGAGTAAGGGCAAAGAAGTGGAAACACCCTTGGCAAGTTCCAGAAACACAAGAAGTCAGCACGTGGAAAGCAAGGAGAGAGTGGGGCAGCAAAGGGAGAATGTCTCTAGACCACAGTCTCAGAGAGGAAGGCAGAAGTTAGGCCATAGTAAGGAGTTTGGGTTTTAGGTTGCAATTGGAAGCCAGTATCTGAAATAAACTTAACGAGAAAACAGTTCAGACAAACAAGCTTGAGGGAAGCTAGAAGGGGGTAGGAGAGGCTCTTTAATACAAGTGATCAGAGAAGTTCTCTGTGAAGAAGGGACCTTTGGTCTGACTGTTGAAGTATCTGAAGCAGTAACTGTGCAGATTTCTGGGGGAGGTGGGTTCCACACAGTGAGAGAAGCCCTGAAGTGGGGAACTTTTGACATATTCTGGGTGTGTTCGTCCAGGTAGACTAGAGAAACAAATTCGTGGACACTCACATATGTAAAAGAAAGAGCTTTATATACACGAACAATGGAATATTGAGAAAACATCCCAACCGAGTCCGATCAAGTCCATAAGTCCAATATTAGCCCATAGGTCTTCCGACTCACGCAACGCATGCAATGATGCTGGACATAGAAAGAGCACAGGCCAGTAGGTGGAAAGTCCTGTGGATCCAGTGGCAGTGGAAGCATCACAGCACTGACAGGGGTCTCCACGTGGCTCCTTCAGCTCTAGCACTGTAGGGTAGCTCCATGTGTCTTGTCATCAGGAATGTTTGGCAGGGAGTGAGCGTGTGTCCTGCCTCCAATGAGCTATTTATCTCCTTAGCACCTCCAAATGCGGTCATCAAGTTGTGACCCAATTGACAGGCTAAACTCAACCCCTTCACTCTTAAGTCTCAAACTGACAACAGATTCTGTAACTACCACATCTAGGAAGAGCAGGAAGACTGCAGCGTAGTGTGGGAGGAGGAGTGGGAGGTCCTGGGGCTCAGATCAAGAAGAACCTGGCCTTCTGGCTTTTATTCTGAATGCTCTAATTACTGTCCTGGAAATGCGAAAGGAAAGAAATGGGAGCAAGGAAACTAGAGAGGAGGCTGCTTCAGTAGTTAAGACCAAAGAGGAAGATGGGCTGAGATGGTGACAGAAAAACTAGAACTGAATTCAGAGTCTACTGGAAAGGATAACTGGCAGTACTCACCGCTAAATCGGATATAACCTAAAAAACAAAACTCATTGCCATCAAGACAATTCTGACCCATAGCCTAGCGATCCTACAGAACAGAGCAGAATGTGGGGTTCTGAGGCTAGAATCTTTAAAGGAGCAGAAAGCTTTATCTTGCTCCCATAGAGCAGCTGGTGGTTTTGAACAACTGACCTAGTGTTAGTGGCCCAACATACAATCCACTATACTATCAGAGCTCCCTGAAATGGATGTGGGAGAAAGGAGAACCAAAAGATGGTTTCTGGGTTTTTGTGCTGTCATTTGGTTAAGAAAATTGACTCTGCACCCAGTAGACTTTAGTGGCTGCTCTTGACTACCAAGGGTAGAGAGCAAAGCCATGGCTGAGGGACCGCTGTGTGGGGCTGGCAAGAACTGGAAGGGGGACAGGACAG